ACATCAATGACAGTAAGTTTGAGGTGGTAGTCTAATTCAAACCACGGATCCGCAGTAAAGAACGGTGGGGATTGATGGAGAGGACGAGGAAGCGAATGAGAACGACCAGGAGAAAGAGGAGGATTATGCAAAAAAGAAAGAAATAGTCCAGACCTTTAAAAATTATAGGACTTCTCCGTGCTCTGGCGGGTTTGGTGGCGGGGGTGGTAGTGAGGTTGGGGACGGGGCTCCTGATTGCTGGCGGTTGGTGGTGCGGTACTAGCAGAAACTGTTGGACCGGCACCGATTGATTAACTGGCGGTGAGTCGGAGTCCGGTATGTAATCGGATGACCTTCTATGTAGCCTCCTCACCGGAAGGTGCTCCTCCGGCTTCCTCTTCGGTGGGGTGTAATCGGATGACCTTCTATGTAGCCTCCTCACCGGAAGGTGCTCCTCCGGCTTCCTCTTCGGTGGCATGTTCACCCGGCTGCTCCACGAAAGAGAAGGAGAAGGTGGCGTCGTGATGATTGATTAGGATCCTGGGGACCGACGACTGAGATTGGAAGGTGGCGTCTCTTGGGAACTCAGGACCCAACCTTTAGATGATCTGCGTTCCGCAGGCCTGCTGCATGATTTGCTGGAACCAGGGGCCGGGTCCCTGCCTGAGTAACTTCTCGATGAGAATATGCGACAAATCCGACTTGGCGGTATGCTGCAGAAGACCCTGGAAGAAGAAGGCGATTGGAGTGGCGAAGCCGGGAAGTCTTCCGATGGCAGGAAGGTTCTCAGAAAGGCTGAGCAGCCCGCTATTTGCCCAATACTTGGAGGAGTCGTCCTTGATTGAGGCGAGGCAGAAGGCGAAGCAATAGAAGGGAATACGGAGGTCGTGGGCGTGCCTCTCCTTGAAGTCGGCGAGCTGCTCACTTACTTGAGTTCGCTCCAGGTCCATTAGTAGGTTGAGGCTTCTCGTGCTGAAAGTGATGAGGAAGAGGATGAGGTTAGAATAGAGGGAGTGGGAGAACAGCTGCGCCGCCTGATCTCGATGGAGGAAGAAGGAAGAGTGGGCGCCGTCCTGCAGGATAATGCAGGCCGCCTGCTCAGCGAACTCCAGAAGATCCGAGGTGACAAGGTTAGTACCGAAAGTAGCTTCTACCGCGGTGCGTTGGAGGGATAAGGCGGAAGAGGGTAAAATAAAGGGGGAGAGAAAAAGGTGGAGTGGGAGGAGCGAGGCGGTCGGGGGGTCTATGACAAAGATCCGCTTGATGTCTTCGTTCGCGTGGGTGGGTGGTAGGGAGAGGTCCGATGCCAGTGGAGTGATAAGGGAGGAGAAAAAGGGCAGGAGTTGGTCCGGGGGAATTTCGTCCTGCGATTGGACAGTGAGGTTGGAGGGAGAAAAGGAAAGAAGGAATGGGTCAAAAAGAGGGGATGAAGTGGACGGTAAGGATTGGTGAGAGGAGGCGGTGGAGCGAGGTTGGTGGTTCCTAGGGGCAGGGGGGGGAAGGTCGGCAATCTTGCAGGAAGACGGGTTCATGGTGAGCGGTGAAGGGACTGACAGCCGGATTACTGAAAACAGTGGACAGACGGACAGGGACTGACCGGGCAATTGCCTTGGTGACGACTGACTGACCAGGCGACCACAGCCTTGACAAGTGGCGATGACGAAGACCAACTTCTGACGAGACCGCAACTATGACCACAGTGACGAGACCTCGAAGACGGCCTTCCAGTGACAAGACCGCAATGACGACAGTGTTGACTCGCAGACCGGTGCCTGAGATTGCCTAAGCCGGGCTGATGGCCGCAACAGAGCACAGGCTCAGGAGAGCGGCAAACGAAGCAAGAGTGAGGTGCGGCGAGGAAAAAAGGACTCGACCTCAGAGGGATCTGACTCCTGTGTGGTGTGCGCGCAGGTTCACGTATGCGATGAGTGCCGCGGGCAGCCGGAGCGCAGAAGGTGCGGCGCGGGAGAGCACTCAAGCCATTGTGGCTGGTCAGATGCCCTGGACTTATACAGTCGCTGGCCAGGGCGCTGGGACCGGAAGGGTTGGCGAGGCGGTACTCCAACCAGGGTGAGTTCCATGGTACTTCGAATTGCGCAAATGCCCCTCTTGTCCCCAACAGCCTGTAGGTCTTGGATTGATAGAATCGATAGTCGAGATGGAAGTGCCAGTGAAAATCCAACCGCCGCCCCTGAAGGTCCCAACCGTGATCTGGTCCATACAAAATGAATTTGATGGTGGGTCCGCAAATAGGCGTAATGTTAGGCCTCGCCACACCACTAAAGAGTACATCTTCTGAAGGCAAAAGCAGCAGAATACATCCGTTCGTATTCATTGTAACGGAATCCAATGTATATGGCTCCTTTGTACGGCAATATGCACTCGTTTTTCTTTTCTTTTGGCGAGCAATACGGCGACACCCAATGATTTCCACTCACGGTTGAACAGCAGGCGGCACCAAAATGAGTCGCCTGATGTACGATCGGGGGCCAAGTCCCACTTGACTGGATTCTTCATTTCTGCCCGTTGATTTTGATGATCTACAGTCGGGAATGGAGGATCCCGGTAAGTGGGACGGGACCCCGGAAATGGTCAAGACAACCTGGCCATAACCTCCCCGAGAAGACAAACTGCTACCATTCCCGAAATGCAGCAGTCCCGCCCCTAGAGTCTACTGTAACTGGGTTGAAGTAGGTCAGAGCGGGGGCAAGGTCCCACTTGCACGGATTACAAGAAGCTGGCCGTTGATCTGTGCTATCTACGGTCAATATCGCTTAATTCGTGCAAGTGGGACCTAGCCCCGGGCTAGGAGTGTTTTATGTGATTGTGCCTGGGGTCAACCTTTTTTTTTTCATTTTGGGGAACTTTTATTTCGTTTCCAAGGGACACCGGACCCGTTTTCGAGGAGCCAATGCTGGGTAATGGCCCCAGTCTTTTCTCGGGAATTTGTGGGGTTTCCCCGCCTGGAGGCTAGGTCCCACTTGAACGGATTAAGAGATTCTGGCCGTTGATCCTTGCTATCTACGGTCAATATCGCTTAATTCGTGTAAGTGGGACCTAGCCCAGGGTTCTTCTCTTGTTTTTTGGTAATAAAAGCTCCTAACAAAAAAAAAAGAAAAAAAAGAAAAAAGAAATGCAGCAGTCCGAGACGTCAGAGCAGGGAAATTGTTTTTCTCCGTTTTCTTTCCTTTCGCAGGACTGCACTCAAGCCCTACAGTCTTCCCCCGAACACAACGTACGGTCATTATAGCTGAATTTTGGCGGATCTTTCGGTCTAAATTCAGGAATAATGACCGTACGTTGTATTCGGGGGAAGACTGTAGGTAGTTCTTTTTATAGTCCTGCATTTCACTTTGATTTTGATTTTGATTTTTTATTTTTTATTTTGTATTTATAATTATTATTATTATTAATTTTTTTTTGCATTCAACTGCTGTGCACAGAGAGACCACTGGATCCCCCGATCGGCATTGAGCAGAGTCTGCTGATGTTCGTAGGGGGGGGGGACCACCACCTGAGGGGAGGCACAGGGATTGGTCCTGTTGCATGGTCCCTGATGCTACCGGCTGTCCCCTAGCCGGTATCGCCCACCTGCGGGTCGGGAGCAGGCCCCGCATCTGTGATGTGAAATTGAGAGGAGAATATAGGTTCAAAAAAAAAAAAAAAAAAAAAAAAGAGAAGCCGCAGCCAGTGTCCGACGCAGGGTGCGAACTCGGGTCCGTTTACCGGGACATGGGGCGAGGTCCCACTTCAGTCTTCCCCCGAATACAACGTACGGTCATTATAGCTGAATTTGGTGTAACTTTTGGTCTAATTTCAGCTATAATGACCGTACGTTGAAGTCGGGGGACGACTGTAGCAAAGAGGATTGGATTGAACACCTGAATCTGGACTTGTTTGTGGAAAAGTGCCGAATGTCGAGATTGGGGGGGGGGGGATTGACAGAAGAATATAGCTTAGCAGCCTTAGCTCACCTAAATAAAAAAAAAAAAAAAAAAAAAAAAAAAAATCGTCTCTTTTTTTTCGTTTTTGTTTTTTGAAAGGAACTGTTCCAGTCCGACTGTTTTTCTTTCGGTCTGACCTAGCTATTTCCGTGAAGAATCGCTAAAACACAAACAGACGAAAGAAGAGGAGAGAACTACTGTAGGTTACGAGGTGGCATGGCGTCCGCAAAGACACACACAGGGGAGAGATGGGAGATAGAGGCGGAGAGAAAGGGTGTCTCTTCGCGCGCAAACCGAACTCGTGCTTTGGGCATACGAACGCCGGCGGCGAGAAATAGGTAGGAAGCCCTCTTGGAATGTTTGGTCGTCTCCATTGGTCGTTTCTTCACGTTTCCTATCTCTCTCTCTCTCTCTCCCCCCCGCGCGCTGAGACCCTAACCTGGTTTCGCCGGAGACGCTCAACAGACAAGATCGATAGCACGCGAGCACACACACAAACACAGATACAAAGAGAGAGAGAGAGAGAGAGAGAGAGAGAGAGAGAGAAGTTTTGCTCTAATTTAGCAGCATAGGCCTTGAAATACCAGTCTGCTTCGTCCTCTTCGTTGTTGCGACTGTTCTTCTTTCTGTCCTATTTTTCGAAACGTAGGGCGCAGAATATGGATTGCAAAGGTAGTATTTAAAGGATCCCACAGAGAGAGAGAGAGAGAGAGAGAGAGAGAGAGAGAGAGAGAGAGAGAGAGAGAGAGAGAGAGAGAGAGAGAGAGGAGCGTACTAAGTTGATAGAGGTAGAGAAAGCCACAGGGGGAGGACGGACTCGCAATAATAAGGGAGATTACTACTAGGTTAGAGGGAGAGAAAGCCACAGAGAGGGAGAGGAGTGCATAATTATTATGCTTATAAAGCTGCTTCGTCCGCTAATTACAGGTCTGCGTCATCCACTCGCCTTCGCGACTGTTCGTCGTTTTCTCCTGGAATCGATTGAGTAACCAGTGACTTAGTCATTGTGAAATTAAAATCTTTTGTCAACGAGTGGATGGTCCACTGGCACATTAGTCTTAGAGGAAAAGCGTATGACTGAGTTATTTATCCCCTGACAGCGTATGCTTCGTTGTGTTCGATAGGCTGACACATAGTTTACAAAGCTATGGCGACATTGGCGAGACTCCACTGCGGTAGTGTGAGATTCTGTAGAGATCCGATCCGTCCTCGAGAACTACGGATACGTCGGGTAGCGTCTGATTGCTTGATGCGCAATGCTGACCTGCGTTGGCCAACTTGGCCTTGCCATCTCTCCCTCGCCGCTACGACCGCCACAACGACCGCGGTTGTGGTTTTGCTTTCACTACTTTTCGTCATCGCCGGCGGACGACCGGTCGGTAGCGCATCCTCTTTCTCACAGTCCTCCGCGCGCCTCGTCGGTCCGGGAGGCGGTCGAAGCGATCGCGATCGCGACCGCCTCCGCGAAGACAAGAGGGTACTCCAATCTGCAAACACTTGCCTTGGTTTGGAGATAATCAACAAGCCCCTTGCTTCTTGCAACCCCGTTGTGAGATACGAGGCGGCCGCCCCTTTCGTCAAAGCGGCGGACGAGCCGCGTATGAAGTGCATGTCACTGGCGCGCAACATAGTCTTGCATCCGAGCGGGACCGTGTTCTTCTACATACTCGATCAGATGTGCTCGACGGAGCAAAACATGAGAAGACCGAGTAGGCGCCTGTTGTCATTCTATGAGTCCGTACTGAGCACGGAAGGTGTACGGTTGAATCTGATAAGCACGTGGTGGCCGGGATCTAGCGGGACGGGATCGCAACTGCTCAATTTCACATGCTATGACTATAACTGCACTTCGTCCATGAATCTCGTCTCCGGAATGGCTACCTCGAAGTCGGGATCTCAACTGATCTTATCGGGATACCGTGATGCGACTATGACGCAGTCGTGGCTTACGACACTGAGTGTTGACAGCGGTGAGAGATCTTCCATCACGTTAATGGTGGAATTCGCCAGCGGCATCGCTCTCGATCCAGAGAAGACGAATCTGTTCATCACAAACGGGGAGGTCTATCCTCGTTGGATCTTCTCTTCTCCCGTTTCCCTTGATCAGCATGGTGACCTATCTTCTCTCGACGGACTCTCCTCTCCCTCCTTGCTCTTCATGTTCGATCACTTTCACGAATGGGACACGTCATCGATATATTTCGGTCCCTATAGTTTCCCTCGCGATGGCAGCTGCTTGTACTTCGTCGATCGCAATCCCGGCGGCAGCGTCTGGGCACTCAATCGTTCGTCGAATGTGGTCAATCTTGTCGCCGGAGGCGGATTAACCCCCCAGATCTCGCCGCACATAAGTAGTAGCTCATCGAACGGTGGTGGTTATAGCATCGTCATGTCCAATGGTTTGAACGCATCGTTCGGAGAGTTGTACGACCTCGCCGTGACGGAGGACGGTCGGATGATCGTCGTCACTGAGAGAGACACCGGTCTTGTGAAGCTCATCGAGCTGGACTCTCCTTGTGGAGGCGGGAGGCGAGTCACAGAGATCTGTAAGTACCATCTTCGCCCCGACTCCGGCGCGTATGGGTTGGCCATTGGAAATTTCAGCGGGCAACTGTTCTTACTTCTCGGTACGGACGACGGACAGGTGTTCAAGCTCACCATCAACACGTCGGCTCTGGAGGCCAGCGCACCGGTGCGCGATAACAACATATTAAGTAATCCCAGTCCGTCAGTCCCGCCTCCACAACCATCTAGCAACTCTTCCCAGGGAAGGGTGAAAGAACCTCCGGAGGTGAACATCGGCCTACCGGTAGGTGTCGTTGTACCTGTCATCGTAGGGTCGGTCTTAATCCTTGGTTTGTGTGCGGGGGGTATCCGGTGGAAATTCATTCGCCGAGACCACTCACGACTTCCTCTCCTAGGCGAAGATCCAGACTATTCTGACCCGCACCAAGGTGTCGTAGTGTTTGATTATCGAACCTTAAGCAACGCGACGAACGGGTTCGACCGCGCGCGACAGATCGGGCAGAAAGGTGGATTTGGCGTCGTCTACCGAGGATCACGGGGGGGGAGTGATTCAACAACTGGAATGGAGATCGCCGTGAAGCGCATGAACGGAGAGCTGACAGAGAACAAGGAAGAGCAATTCGAAGCAGAGGTGGCGACGCTCAACCGGGTGCATCACGTCAATGTTTGTCGCTTGATTGGATATTGCCGACATAAGGGCAAGTGCTACTTGGTTTACCCTTTCATAGCGGGGGGCAGCTTGCACGATCGACTTCATTTACGGCCTGAAGATCGACCAAAAGAAGTACCGGGAGCGAGAGGACTTCCAAGAGAAGAACCAGCAAGAGAAGTACCAGAAGGAGAACCCGGAGCAGCCGCAGAAGAAAAGCCGGGACCGTCCGCGGGTGCGAGAGCAGCAGGAGAGACCGGAAGAAAAACTCTACTCGGAGGAGAAGGAGGAGGAGAAGGAGGAGGAAGAGGAGGAGGAGGAGGAGGAGGAGGAGGAGGAGATGGGGGAGGGGGAGGGGCCGGACGAGAAGGACAGCAACGAAGTGGAACTGAAGAATCAGAGGCAAACGAGGGAGGACGAGGAAGGGAAGAAGGAGGTGTCGGTCGACGGGCCGTTCGATGGGCCGTTCGATGGGCCGTTCGATGGGCCGGACGAGGGGGCGGACGAGGGGGCGGACGAGACCCGCAAGGAGGAGAAGGCCAGCCCAATCGTGTCTCCCAACCTCTTACCCTGGTAGAGCGTGTTGTGGTTGCTGCACAGATTGCTAGGGCTCTTCGCTACCTTCACACCGAGGCTACGCCGGAGGTTATCCATCGGGACGTCAAGAGTGCAAACGTCTTGTTGGGAACAGAAGGTGGTACGAACCTGACGGCAACCCTAGCGGATTTCGGTTTGGCCACGGAGATGAGGGAGGAGTTACAATCAGACCACAGGACAGTCTGGCAGCCGTGGTGCGGGACGGAAGGCTACACGGCTCCAGAATACGAGGACCCGGACCGGGGAAAGCTGACAAAGAAGATCGACGTGTTCGCGTTTGGAGTTGTTCTGCTGGAGCTTCTGACCGGCGAAAAAGCGACAGTGAAGAAGCCCCGTGGCGGATACGCAACTCTAGTCGAACGGCAGAGCGACAATCTGGCCATTGTTGATAGCGTCGATCTCAAGGAGGTCGTGCACCAATCGATTAAAGAGGAAATGGATAATGTTGTGATGAGCCGCATGACGAGAGAGCTGTTGCGGCTAGTTGTTGGTTGTGTTAATCACATCGTTGAAGCTAGGCTAAGTAGCGATGTGGTTGCTTCCAGGATGGAGGCCATTGCGAACACGGCCGGAATAACTCTACGAGTCAACAGGGTTCCAACCCGTCGGCCGGTCAGAAATCAGCTAACGGTGATAGGTCTTAAGGCAGCCCAGAATCATTCACACACCGTCTAGAAGCTAACGGTGATGGATGGAGGGATAATCGGTAGAACCCCACATGGAAGTCATTGGGCCGGTAGTACCAAACGGCCGAGTTTCCGGCGCCCAAAACCGCAAAGGTTTTGGCGTGGGCGCTTTCTACCAATTATCCCATGGTTGGATCTCCCCGGGTTGGGCATTTATGTTATCCGTTAGCCGTGAGGGCCATGGATCACCCGCCCACCCGCCCTTCTGTGTGTAAACGGTGTATTATCCTGTACAGTTAACAGGCGCTGAGCAGCGTCTCCCACAAAAAATGAAGTGCAATAGCTTACCCTGCTGGTTGCACCCTGATGTCTGAAGCCATGTACTATGGTGTAAGGGCTATAGACCAGGCCATCGCACCGAACTCGGAGGCAATCGCGGGGCACGCCGCTATCTTATTATATTATATTATATTATATTATATTATATTATATTATATTATATTATATTATATTATATGATAGGGGAAAGTCTTGAAAATGACCCTGAAATTTCGGTTTATGTCCGATTTGCCCCTCCGATGGCCTACTTACCATGATTTGACCTGGGGCCGCTGAACTTTCGTGCAGGCCCCAGTCAGTGAGGGGTGAAACTTTCGGGAATGCACCTACCGGACTGCCGGTCCCATTTCCCCAGGTGCCTGTCTGATTTATCTTCCTGCAGGGGATGCATCTTCCTGGATGCGCATCAGCATGGAGGGAGAGGGAAATGCAAACACCGTAGTTTTCCACTCCGCCGTGAAAAGAGCATGGCTTCCGCAATCCACAGCATTGGAGTTCATTCGAAGTCTGCTGCGACCACGCAGCCTTGGACATCCTTGGAGTTCATTCACGAAGGTCAGTGTTCCTCCCCTTCTTCCATGCCTCTCTCTCTCTCTCTCTCTCTCTCTCTCTCTCTCTCTCTCTCTCTCTCTCTCTCTCTCTCTCTCACGATAGAGAAGGAGAGGGAGAGCAGGAGGAGGAGGAGAACAATGGGAGGGATGTGATTCCGATCATTCCGTGAGAGCCATCTTCATCCAACTGGAATTGCATCCCCTTCGCTATGGAGTTCGTCAGACCGCAGCCTGTTCCAGAAGACATGTTGACCTTTAAGTACTTCATAGCCATGCTTCTGGTGCCCTTTCCTCCTCCAAGTCCTCCTCCTCCCTCCCCACCTTGGCTTCCCTCTCTCCTCCCATGTCGTCTTCCTCCCCCTTCACCACTTCCCCCATCGCTTGACATTCAAAACTCCCCCCGTCCTCCTCCTCCCCTGCCTCCTTCCCCTCCTCCTTCCCCTCCTCCTTCCCTTCCTCCTCCTCCTCATCCTCCATGGCCCGTGTCGCATTCAGGTCTAGCCCTATAGCCCTGGTGGATGCAGTTCCTGTACAGCTTTCCCGTAGGGGCATACTGAAAATTTGGCACGGGTAGGGGCATTTTGAACATATTTCAGGCCCAAATGACGCCAGGGGTGTTTTGGAAGCTTGAATAGAGCGGCAAATCAGGGTAAGTCGGCCATCAGAGGGGCAAACGGCAAGTAAATGGGTATCTCAGGGGCATTTTGAATATTTTCCCTATATTATATTGTATTACATTGCAGAGACCTCGTCACTATGATTATTAAAAACAATAATGTATGTCCTATAAGTGGCATCTAAATCAGTACTAAGCAGAATGCAATACGGGTCGTTCTATGATGGGGGGGTATATATAGAGTTACATATTTGTGGGGGGGGTATATATAGAGTTACATATTTGCAGGGGTTAATAGCGAAAGCACTATTTTTAAAACTTTTTTTTTTTTCAATTTTTTTTTTTTTAATTCCTTGCTATGTCTGGATCTGGTGGGTTTTACCCTGTTCAAGACTTTGGACCACTTCTTGATTTGTTTGTGTCCTCTCTCTCTCTCTCTCTCTCTCTCTCTCTCTCTCACACACACAAAAAAAAAAAGACCTCTTTGTGTTTCCAGGTCCCTTTGCAGAGATAAGGGCGAGTTCCGAGAAGGCTGGGCAGCCTTAGAGCGCAGCGTGGCAGACCTTGCTGCCAACTTGTGCCATGGGCCTGGTCCCATTAGCACAGAGGATTGGATTTAATTCCTGAATCTGGACTTGCTTGTGCAAAGATGCAGAAAATTGCCATTGATCTGCTTTTTGTGCATCTCTGGGCAAAAAGCATCCAGATTCAGAAATTCAATCCAACCCTCTTTGCCAATGGGACCTAACCCCAGGTTTCCAGAAAGGGCGCATCCACCGAAAGTGTGAAAACTGGACCTGGAAACACAAAGGGGTTTGGGGGGAGAGGGGGGGCAGAGAGAGAGAGAGGAGACACACACACACACACACACACACACACACACACACACACACACATATATGATGATATATATATATACGATATATATATATAGAGAGAGAGAGAGAGAGAGAGAGAGAGAGAGAGAGGACACAAACAAATCAAGAAGTGGTCCAAAGTCTTGAACACGGGAAAACCCACCAGGTCCAGACATAGCAAGGAATGAAAGAAAAATAAGGAGGAAAGAAGAAAGAGGAAAAGGAGAAGAATGGAACCAACGACAAAAGGGGAGAGGGGAGAAAATGAGAAAGAACCAAAAAAAAAAAAAAAAAAAAAAAAAAGAGAGAAATAATCAACAAGCCTACACCGACAAACTGTTGAAATACAGACCAAAGTTTGAATCCAGTCAGGACCAGATGACCAGAATAAAAATCCGTCTGAATTACCTGAGGCCGGGCAGTTCAAGCCCGCCACCTTTTCGAAAAAATCTTTTGAAAAAAAAGGGGGGGGGTTGGTGGTGGAGAGGAAAAAGAAAAGAAAATGAAAAGAGGGAAAAAAAAGGGAAAATTGTTGAAATGCCCCTAGCGTTGGGGTATTCGGCAGATACCCCTAAAAGGCATCGGTATGGGGAAATGCCCCTATGACAGGAATGAAACTTTGTGAAAATACCCCACTAGCGAACTGGACCTGCTATCTATTGTATATACCCATAGCGGGCCCTGGGCAACTTGTCTATATGCCCCTGTATTTCTGGCCATTGGACCGTGCAGATTGCAAACGAAATGCACGCCCCCCTGCGGCCCACGGCCAGGGCATATGGTGAAGTTGCCAATAAGTGCCACAGGGGTAGATGCAGAAGTTTGGGGCATTTCTGCGTACCCCTGTGCTTTAGTGGTATCTAACAAAATACCCAAACTTTTAGGGGTGTTTCAACAGTGTCTCATAAAAAAGGGAAAAAGACAAAAAACATAAGCCTTAGGGCCCGCGTGATATTAGGGTCCATTACCATTACCCAGCTTCGGCTGTGCTGCGAACCAGTCCTCAGAACATATATCCTGTGAATTATGGAAATTGCAAATCCTAACTGTAGTTACTTTGGGCGCAGAGACCACATTGCAAGCTGTTCTTGATGGCTGACATCTAGGGCGCACTCAGCACTGTGCGAGATAGTAAAGTTCGGCCTAAGAAAAAACAAAGCATTTTTTTGTGAAGTCGGCAATGACCCACAGGTCCCACACAACATCGCTGTCTGAGGGCATACTCACAGAAGGACTTCTTCCACGGAGAAGACTTGATTTTGTGCCTTCCATTTCACATAAAGCTCTGGATGTGATTGCAGTCAGATTCATCCTGGTCTGGCCGTAATTGCGGTCTCTGGAATGTGCTAGTGTGAATGTGCCCTGAGATTCCTGCAGTTCCTGAGAAGATGAATCTTTTGGGTCTGCTTTGTGAGGAATCTAAGGATTCCCAGTCTGAGTCTGTTTGGCTGAGATTTGCTCTATTTGCTATGTGTGTGTGCTGACAGTGTGTGCTTGCTGAGCTACCAGCCTACCACTAAAGTGTGCACATGTGCTGAGTCCAATTCTCAATTCTGTGTCCATACGCTAACTCTGTTGGCCATCTGTGTGTGGGTGTGACTGGGACAGGGACAAGGTAGGATTAGAGTGACAGCCAGGGGCAGGACTTCAACTTAGTGGTAGGATATGCTGGAGGGTAGGGGCAAGTGTAGAATTCGTCATGGACCCGGTAGGATTTACCAACAACTCGGGTAGGTAGACCTTGGGAACAGGTAGGCTTAGTGGGTACTAGGCCAGTATGGGCCAAAAAGAGTCAGGAAGTGTTGAGGCCTGCCAAAAGCCGGAACACCCGGTGGCGGCGGTAGGCGTAGTGCACCCAAGGGAGACCGGTCGTGCTGGGTGGTGCCTGGCCAGGAGGAACCAGAGGTTGTGCAGAGTCTGCAGACAAAGTATATGAGCGGGTGTAGAGTATGGGGGCCAGGAAGCCAGAATATATGAGCAGGAGGACACTTTGGTTCATTCTTCAATTGGGCATTATATCGGTCCGCCCAGAGGGTAAGGTAGGTGGAGCACTTGGAGCCTGGAGGAGAAGGTGGAGCTGGAGGGCGAAGATGAAGACCTCCATGGCAATGGAGGAGTAGTGGGAGGTGGTAGAAGTGAGGGTGGTGGAGCTCTAGGCTCGCTATGAAGGAGGAGGAAGGAGGAGAAAGGAGGAGGTGTGAACCAGGAAGGAGACTCAACCTTTGACTAAGGTGGACTTTCATCTCCACTTCATCGGTTGGCACTGCATTAGAAGGCCCCTGTGTGGGTACTATCTGTGCTGGGACTTGATCGAACAGTATGGCTATGGCGGTTAGAGATGGGAGAGGCCTAGTGGAGTTTGCATTGTCCTTTGAGCATCTGTGATGCGCATGGATGTTCCACCATAGCTAGGGCTGTCAGTGCAACCAAGTGAGGAGTGAGGTTATGCCATTATGGCTGCAAGGAGGGCCCTTTGAGTGCTGGCAGTAAAGGGGAGTAACCGGACACTGATTCTGGCACTTCCATTCATGACATTGCTGTTCATTATAAGATGAGGGCGGAGATGATGAGGGGATGATGATGATGGAGGTGATGAGGGAGAGATGAATTTGGTTCCAACTTTTGTTTATTGTCTTCCTCTTCTTCTATTCATCATTCTTCTTCGAATCAATGTCTTTCATTTGAGTCCCAGCGGAATGGCATCGTCTCTAAGTGAGCTTCCGCATGCAAAGTTGGCCATGGATCCTAGCAATTTCCAGACCGAGAATGCTAGCGTAAGTATGACCTGAGTATGCCCTCACGGGGGGAGCTTTTTCTTTTTCTGCTCAAAACTTCTGGCTGCATTTTGGATGACTCACAATCACCGTGTGCTCTCCCAATTGCGTGTTTTGGCTGTACTCAGTACTGTAGTCATTGCGTAACTGACCCTAATTTTCTGTTTGCGAATATTTACTACTAGTAGTAGTGGCCTCCTTAGGCCCCCGC